TCGCGGAAGCATGAATTCCTCGGTGTACAAAAAATAGTACTTCGTAACAATCACCCCACACAACAGAGAAAAAGCTCGCTTTTTCTCCCATTGTACAGATTTTTCGAGGGTGTGAATTTTTCAGGCCAATTGATTTTCAATCCCTTTTCAATCTCATGGTTGAAAGTTATATGAAAAAACTGCATAGTTGAGCCGTATATAAACTCCGGTTTTTGAATGATGGCTGTCACAGTGCTCAGTCTACTTTTGGCAAAGCAATTTCGAAGTGCAAAAAGTCGTTGGGAGAATTGCAGAGGAAAAATCTGAGAGAAGAGAGAAGATCATTTTTCTGAGCAGTAGTTTTTTCGAAACTGCGTGTTAAAACTGTCGTTCTGACTGAATTACTGCATTGAGAAAATGAGAACTCGTCGATTTTGGGTTTTACTCTTGTTGATTGTTTTGACTTTGAGAGCTGAGGAAAATTGTCGGATCTCTGGGGAAACATACATCTGTCAAGATTTATGTGGAACTGGAGTTTGTCAGGCCATGGAATACGACGGAAACGTCGTTTTGGAAGGACCGATTCTCGATTTTAAATGCGCGTCGTTCAACAAAATAAAGGCAAGTCGTAAAAAGAGCAAAACAAGACAAAAAAGTGCACTCGCGAAAAGCGTATTTCGTTTCACAGAAGGTTGTCGTAAAAGACGAAGTCATCTGTTGAGGGTCGGCTCCAAGGATTTTTGGGGAAGGAGGGGTTTGTAAACTGCTGTTCAGCAGTGTAACCCAGAAACCAAATTGCGATTATTTTCTTTTCTCCACATAGGGAGAGAGATCCTTCTCTACAAGGTATTCGTTTCCTTGCAGCTGTTCCCCTTTTGTTTTGGTTCCCCCTCTCTCACGTTGGCCCGCATTAATGCGTGACGGTTGTTATTGCAGGTTTCTCCTTTTCAACTTGCTATTTGTCAACAGTGACAAACTACTTGCACTGCCTTCTTCTAAACTGCTAATTTAAAAGAAGCCTATTCCGCCGAACTTGCGAGTGTATATATGTTATTTATATTTATAATAAATACCCGGAGATACCCGGATATTTGTATTCATCAAGAGTGTTCAGGAAACCCGCAGTTCCTCAGTCTCGGTGAATATTTTGCCTCTATATTCTATGTTTCCAGGAAGGTATAAATACACCTTCCTTCCCACATATTTCCTCAGAATTAATCTAGAATCATTCGCGATTATTTCTCAGAGAGACTTGTTATTCTATGTTTCCAGGAAGGTATAAATACACCTTCCTTCCCACATAGTTCCTCAGAATTAATCTAGAATCATTCGCGGTTATTTCTCAGAGAGACTTGCAGAACGTTTTAGCAAGACTCTCTTAAAGCTCTCTATTTTTATGTTTGTGAGATTGTACGAATACTTGTGGATTGAATATATTTGAAACATATATTTTTATTGAATTTGAACATTTATTTATACCTCGGTTTACGGACAACAATTGCTACATTGAATCAATTAGGACCGCCAAGAAAAGTTCAAATTTTGCTGTCCTTCAACTGCAAGGATTTTCATTCCCCAAAATCAATAATTTTTAGAACAAGATATATTATCAACTAATTGCTCTAAAATTGTCAACAGGCAAAGAAACTCAGCTCCTCTTATGTTAAAAAAATTCAACAATCAACATTGCTCTTGGCAGTGCTCAAGATTGGAATTACAGCAGTGCACTAAGGAATCTTTTTTCCACTGACCTCATTGTAAAAATTATTCTTCACATTTGTTTAGGCAGTAGCTGTTTGCTTTTAATGATTTTTCAGTAAATTTTAAGGTTCTCCAAAGTTTGCAAAATCTCTCAAACAAAACCTAAAATATGAAAGCACTAGGAAAACAGTCTTGAATAAATAAAATATTCTTGGATATTTACTGACCTGAAATCTTGATATACAGTATTTTCATATTGAATTGTTTTCAGATATTACTGGTAGCTTTGTTGTGATTAAATTGTACAATATTGAATGACAATTACAATGTACTCACAATAATAAAGTTTGGCAGATGCTTTTGCAGTCCAATAGATGTCTCCATGTGTAGGCAATTTGCACAGAACCTGACCATTTGACATTTGTTCAGTGCTGTAGCCTCGACATTGGCCAATATTTTGCTGCTTGCACATCCGGGCACATTCTGAATTTGTTGGCAACATTATGCTCAACCCCGGAGTTTCCAGCTCAGCATTGAGTAAAAACTTGTGAGTGTTTGTGGATAATAGGCAAATTCCAGATGTAGTCCAGATACATGTGGATTCGCTTTTATACCAAGTATAAATACCAGTATTTGACATTATCATAATAATGCAGTCATTGTTTTGAATGGTGGGCAATTTGTTTTCAGACCACACCTGGTCTGGATCCGTCAGTGATGGGGTTATGCTGATTCCCACTGTTTTTTTTTTTTAAATAAGAAGGAATTGATCAATTTTTATGTGCTTTTAGAATTCCCCGTGGAATGGAGAAATGTACAAGAAGAATGTGTTGTCCAGGAAAGTGTTCCCCAACCTTTTTTGGTTCCTGGACCAGAAAATTTTAATAAAATCCTCTGCAGACAGGCACATTCTCATAAAATTTTCTGTGAAGTGCACTGTTCTGTACAATGTTTGATGACCAGGAGAATATTTTAAAATGTCTGCCATAAACAGTCCTCAGAACAAAACGTTTATTGCAAAACATTAAGTTGAGAACATGTGAAGTAGCTACAAAGTGGAAATGTTTAAAAAATAGGATGCTGGGCTTGAAGAAAGGTTTCTCAGGTTAAAAACAAAAAAGTAAGATATTTTAGCAGATGTTTGAATTGTTATTAGGAAAGAACTAACAATTTAGTTTTCATGAGATAATTTCAACTGCCATTGTCTCCAAAATTTTGGATGCAATAACAGACTTCATTAATACTTTAATAAATCAATTATGTGGAAGACATCTTTCTGTGGACTGAAAAAGAACTTCTGCAGACTGCTGGTGCTGGTGTGCAGAGCACAGCAGGTTGGGGAACACTGGTCAAGAAATGTATTTTGTTGCTCTGGACTGATTGCTGATTGAAAATGTTCTGCTGTACGTATTAATTCAATTAGATACATTCTGATCCATGCATCACATAAACAACAGTCATTCAAAGTGAAAAATTGCATCTGTCAAGCAAAGAATGTCATTTCTTAGCCTGGTTATAGACAGTTTTAATGCTAATATGCTGCCTTTTTAAAGAAGTGAGGGAGTAAGTGACTTGTTGAGAAGCTATATTCTTGCCTAGAAGTTTGCACCCTCTTCACTTTTTTTTTACCATGAAGTTTGAGGATAAATTGTATCACCAAGAAATTCTAAAAATGATTCATGGAAAAGTTCTAATATGAGAAACTCAAAAACTCCTTATCAATGTTTTTAAAAATTCTTCTGACTTTTTTTTGGGAGTTTCAAGTGTGCTATTCTCAAAATTTCTTAAGAGTAGAGTGATCCATTCATCTTTATTCGATAAACATTGTAGATCAAATGATCTTCAAAAGTATAAAAAAGTGAAGGTCTACTATCAATATCTGAAAAAAGGTGTCTGTTGAAAATATACAATTCTACACAAAGGACAGAAACATTTTCATTGACATAAATTTTCATCCTCTCATCTGAAAAATAAAAATACTGATTAAAATTCATTGATTTGTTACTTCGGAGAACTGTTGATCTTTTTTTTCTATTTGGGTCACTCAGCTCATTTGGGGATTTAATAATTTTTGCGTTAAAACCCAAATGCTATCATACTGGCAAAAATGCTACAGTTTTATACACAATCATTATGCCGGAAATGGAACTACCATCCACTTGTATCAGGATTAAAAGATAACTAACAATTAAGCACATTATACCATCACAAAACAATTGGAGAAATCAATAAAATGTCCTCCACACTTCTCAAGTGACATCTATGAAAATAATTAAGCTTATAATGGATGAATGCCCTTACATGTAGGCATGAATAGCTTTCCATCCGCTGTCCCAAATCCAACAGCTGAAATCCACCAGCCATCAATAAGTGAAACAGGATATGCCTTGACATTCATAGCTTCTATAGCTGCTGCCCTCTTGCGGGGATACACCGGAGCAAGGACTCCATTAAAAAAATCGCATTTCTTCATGTGGTCAGAACTAATCAGAAGCTCATCATCGGCATGCGTCACCTTGTAGAAATTTCCATCCGTTGCCAACTGAACCTCACTTAAGTTAGGCAAAGGCGGTTCTGAAAAAATAAATACCATAATCTTTTTGTGCAATTTGATATCCAATATTTTATTGAAGCCCCAGCTGACACTGGCTTCCAAGTCCATGGCTCTCCCCTCTTTCCTTTCTTTTCTCATCAGTCATCACCAGCCCAATTGGGTGATGATGATCATGCCCATAGGGAAAAACCCTCATGGATGAAACCTCTGTCCTTGTTTTATGTTGTGGAATGTGGACAGAGAGCTGGTCAGCCAACTGTCCTTTTCTGTTGCATATGTGTGTGTGGATCTTCTTTATCTTTTTGGGCCAGCCTGCAAGTCAAGTAACCTGCTGGCTGACCACCATGTCTCTTTCAACTGATATGAAACAGTGTGCTCTTCAGCATTTGTGTCCCAACACTCTGACTGGACTGATCTGTGTGCACTTGAATTATACTGTCATTGCCTCTCAAGTCTCAACAAGAGATCTTGGCAATTGTTTTACTTAACTGCTAAAAATCCTTTTGGCCTGCAAAGCACGCGGAAAACTCTTAAAATACTAAGATCATTTTAAATTGTTACCTACAGATCTGAGGGTGGTAGCAAACTTTTGATGAGACCAAATGGTAAGTATTTGCTTAAGATTCACCAGTTCTTTTTATTCAACAGCAAAACTGGACAACAAACTCATGGAATATAAATATTTCTTCAACAAATTATCCTCATCCAAATTTGAATTCCTTTCTGAAGGAAGCTACAAAAAATCATCATCTTGATTACTAAAAAAAATTAAAATGGAAAATTTACTACTGTATATTGTTTAGTTGAATGGAAGTTTCCACTCTTAATGAACATTATTCAGTCAGTGATATACAAGAGAAGGGCTTGGTTATTTCTCAGATATTGATAAAAAATATGCATGTCTATTAAACATTATCATGAGATATGATGATAGAATGTAAAAAAGCAATTGCTCCTCAAGTTTCAGTTACCTCTTTCATTGGTTCCCATTTTGGTTTTGAGTCAAAAGTCATGACTCAATTTGAATTCGTAACTGACAAGACATACATACTGAATGCCAAATTCATGCTCAGTTGCTGGTATTTATTTTTTTGGACTTTGCCATTTTTTTTTCAATATTAATACAGTCAACTCCTTGCCTAACAGACCTTTCCTCTGGAGGTAGTTTTTCCTCCTGCCTAATGGACAAAATCTGCCTAACAGACCTCTGTTGGTTTGAAATTAATGGTAAAAAGTAATTTTTTAAATAAATAAATATTTGTAATAGAGTTCACCTAACAGAATAGTCTTTTGCATAAATCAATTCTGCTGTGCAGAGGTCTAGTTTCCACGTGACCAAAGCAGAGCTTTTGGTTAGTTTTTCCTCTTGAATTGATGCATGTGATTTGACATATTCTTGCAAATTTATGAATCACAGTAAGTCATGTGAAAAATTCAAATAATTACTTTCATCAGAGCCATACCTGTGATAAGTATGATCTTAAATTTTTTTCATTATTTGAAATGTCCAGATTTTTATGATGAGATATACAGAATTATCTTGCACGGAAACAAACAGAATCAAGTAGCCTTTCATTCTTACCAAAGTACAAAGTTGTTTCATTGTTTTCTTTCCAGTAGGTATCCGTAGGAGGAGGGATCCTGCACAAAATGCCCTTTTTCTGCAAGGTCTCAAATGGTGTCACACTGAATGATGTGCAAGATTCTGTACGTCCGCATACAAGAGCACAGTCTCCAGCTGAATCGACAATTATGTCTTGGGCAGAGTTAATGAATTGTCCTGATTGGTGTTGCTTCTGGAATCCACTCAGGTGATCTGATGATTGAGGCTCACAAATTTGAATTCAAAATCGCACGAAAAAAAAGAATTCTATCATGAAAATACTGTCAACATGCATCAACCAATTAACTAATCTCCACTTATGAAAAATCAAGAACCTCTTGCTATTGTAACTGACAAATAATATTCTCACATTTTGAAGACACGAGCAATGTTCCAGTAATCCTGTTTGTAGAATTTTCCTTGGAGGTTGAAGACGTTGGTAACATTTCAAGAAAGTAACATTTATAGGTGTTTCCTGAAAAGAAGCATAAAAATTCCTTCAATTAAGGTTGATGAAGAAAAGAAATTTTGAGAGAGGTTTCTTTTATTTTGTACCTGACCTACTCCAGTATAAATACAGTTTAATTTTTGATTTTACTGAATAACACACAGAATATGTGATTTATGAACAGTTTGAACTTGAAAAATTATCTCCATGATCTGGACAATAAATACCGTATTTCAATGAATGAAGACGGCCAACTTTTAGACAAGGAGTGATCTTATTTTCACTTGATCAAAACAATCACAAATCATTCATGAAAAGTCCTTGATCAATTTGACACATATATTGGAGGGGACACTTGGAATATGTTTTCCTAGTTTTGTGCTCAATTGTATTCAGTTTTATGAATCATGAAAATCCAGAATTTGACGGATTCAAAACTCCCAATTCATACACAAGAAATCAGAACACCAGATTAGCGCACAAATCAAATTAAAAGGATAATGATAATAATTCACCAAGATATCAGTCTCAAGAGAGCGAATAATTCTGAAAATTTCTTGGTATAGGAGGAAAACTACACTGGTTCCGTCTTCTTGTTCCTCTCCTCAACAAATGAAATTTGACCTGCTCTCATCAAAGGATTTAAAAAAAGGAAAAGAGAATTACCTTGAAAAAGAAGTGCACTGCAGTCATTGGTAATCATGCATTGAACAGCGCATTCCATACTGGATCCTGTGGACAACACAATTGTTTCTGGGCCAAGGATCATGGATGCATCTTGAGTAATTGAAAATAATTCTCCAAATGCGGATGAGATAAACAAGAGGAGAAGTAACACTGACAACTCCATGTTATGGATTCCCATTTTCTGAAAAGAAATAGATGCTGGCGTTTACTGGCTTTCATGAGGATTACAAAATGAATGACGGCGTTGAAATTTGAAATATCTGATTGTAAACATAACCTGGATAAGTGAATGGAAATTATTTCTACTCAGTCCTGGAACTCCTGGTACAATCTCTGTCCTAACACCATCCCCGAACTTGAAAGAAAAAACTTCAAATTCCGATTTGATATCATAATTAGTCGCCCTTGATTTTCGAGCTTGATTTCTCTGTTGAAAAAACTCGTTTTTCAAATGATTTGCGAGGCATTTTTTTGCTAATTTTTACCCGTTCCGAAGCACTTCAGAAGTACCCATTGAATGTAGGTTTCTCTCAAGGAAAAATGAGAATTCTCTCGGGAAATTCCGTAAGAGAAGTACACGAATGCATTTCAACGTTTAAACCCAAATTCTCTAGAAAATAAAATTTTTTACCACCCTCCACTTTGAAACAGAATGTGTTGTTTTGAAAAGATTTAATGGGAAAATAATTCGCCAATATCAAGTTCAACCGTGTCTAGAAATTGCTCAAATATAAGAAATCGAGCCGCAGTATAATGAATGCGATTCGAGCAGAAACTGCTTCTAATTTTTCGTCCCACAAATCAATTCATCATTGCTTAAAAAGTAGAGAAGAAAGCTTAATATTTTTTTACTGTTGGTCCACTTTCGTTGATGAGCTGGGCAATTCAAGTAATTCTTCTAGGGCATGTTTTCTTTTCATTAAAGGTTGCTGGTCCTTTTCGTTTTCTCTAGCTATGGCCCTGAGGAAAAGCCTGACTTCGATTCGCAAACTGATAGCTCACTCAATGCAATGGAAGAGACGATTATTTGCGTAATAACACGAGTGTGTTTTTTTGTCACAGTGTTAATCATTCACTTGATATTCTTTCATGTGTTGGGGTACGACAATGTACCACCCAATTATCAATCCTCAAAATCCAGTACACGTAAACACAGTGTAAATGTTGTTGAGGTCTGAGGAACAAATGGCTTCTCTTCCTCAGAACACCACTAAATAAATACAACATGAATCACATGGAACCCAAAAAAATACACAAAACGAATTCCGTCTAACAAAATACCCACATATTTTCTCTAAAATATGAAATACAGTGAGCATCCAAAATGCGCACCCCAGCATACAGACAATTTGACTTCGGGACGCTTAAAAAAAACAAACATTGGACCCAACATCCAGAAAATACCTCAGCCCATGGACACTTTTTCAGCACTTCTAAAACTTGGAAAAGTTAAACTTTTCTATATCCGAATATCTCTTGAACAAATTCAGCTAATTATATTCACAAAAGTTAAAACTGATTATCATTGCATTTTTACTTGAATTTATAACTAAAAACTGGTTGAATTTGTGCCTATATTTTTTAGCATTCTCTAGCATCTGGGTAGGAAAACTGATACTTTTTATTCAGTCAATTTTTATTTAGTTGGTATTTTTTAGTCAATTTCATGCCAGAGGATCATATTCTGCATGATGGGTTTCTCTATTTTGAATAGTTGCATCATCTACATTGTTAAGTTGAGAAACCTATTTTATTTGATTGTTTGGGGATTTATTCCTAATTTCCAATAACTGGAAAACCAATTAAATGGTTTCCCATGGAAATCCATTGGAAAACAACGTCGAAGACATTCTGACATGGGGTGTCTGAATTTTGGGGTCTCACTGTAATGCCTTTTTCAAAATCAAAGTCATTCTAGTTTTTTATCACTGTGCAATATGATCTCATGTGAAAAAAAATTGACAGGACCTCAATGAAAAAATCGAATAAATAATTATGACATGGAGGCTCAAATGCGATTTTGCCTGAAATGTATATTGCAGGGAATACACAGACTTACCTGTTTGTAAAAAATTCTTCTTTGGCTTCAAATTCTAATATTTTCCTCCAACACGGTTCTTTTGTATCCTCAATATGTTTCTACGATGCTTTTCTATTAAGATTTTAAGACAGTGTTACTTCTTTACCACAAGCAGGTCACTGAAGAGGGGTCATACCTTTTTTTTCAACGACATCCCCTCAGAGCGATGCTAATTTCATATTCTGCGGTGATAATTATGAACTCAATCACCGAATTATGGCAAGAGAAAAGTCTTGTCTTTATTTCATCATTTGAACGTTTTTCAGTTTTTCAATATTCATTTATTAATTCCTATCAAAATCAATCCACTAAGCACGCTACATTTCGTGACACATTTCCACTCTGAATGATTATATGCACAACTATGTAAACATAATCGCCTCTGTGTCATATGCTCATATCTGACCATCAGGACAATTAAAAGCAAGGTGAAATTAAGGTCATGATGAAATAAAGACAAGACTTTTCTCTTGCCATAATTCGGTGATTGAGTTCATAATTATCACCGCAGAATATGAAATTAGCATCGCTCTGAGGGGATGTCGTTGAAAAAAAACCGTACTACCCTTTCTTGATCGACTTTTATTTACATCAAAGAATTTCTCCAGGTAAATTGTGTTCATTCTGACAAAATTTTCCTTCAGAAGCCGGATCAATGCTCCAATAACTTATTTGAAATACAGTATATATGTACAATGTTTGTCCAAATTTTTGTGCATGTAAAATGTGAGCCATTGTTGATCCGGGTTTCATTCGTTTTTTCATGCTTGTATTCACTGGAAAAAGAAAAACAGCACTAGAAGTAACAGCTCGAGTTGTAAATGAATAATGCTATGCCAGCGTGATTAGTGGATTGATTTTGATAGGAATTAATAAATGAATATTGAAAAACTGAAAAACGTTCAGAGATTCTGAGCCCAGTGCTGAACTGTTGAATTACAAGGGTTCTAACAAAAGTTCTCGGAGTAGCAATGAAAATGGCTTACAGTTGACCTGAAACAAACTTTTTCTTTAGGGAAAACATATTCTTTGGCACATAAAAAATATCAGCCCTGTTTTACAATTTTTTAAAATTTTTTTCATAATTCACCCTGGTAGAGTTTTACTCTCCACTCAAAAGACGAGGCGACCTTTTTTTGTTGTAGCCCAGCTTTCCCCTCAGACTTTTTAAAATCAGCTTGGCATTCTTTCTAAGGGTTGCCTCCAGGTCATCCAAGGCAATTCCGCCATTTTCATTGACAGCCGCCTTCACAGCCACCAAAGTGGCGGCTGTGAAGGTGGCTTTTGATGAAAATGGCGGAATTGTGCCAAAAAAATATGTTTTTCCTAAAGAAAAGCAGTGTTTCAGGTCAAATGTAGGCCATTTTCATTGCTACTCCGAGAACTTTTGCTAGAACCCTTGTATACCTTGATTTCCCTGGCCAATCCCAGGCCTCTAACAAATTGCCTGAACCAGAGCAAGTACTGGATCAAGGCCAGTCGCAATAATTCATAAAAAAACCCTCCTTTTCATAGATCCCACCATCAGTCTGCTTTGAGCAGTCATTGGGAATAGTGGTGTCCAAAAATTTAGAGCTTGCTGAGACGGTTTTTGCAATTTTAATTTTGTGTCTTCAATTTGCTCTGGAAATTCCAAAGCCTCTTTGAGACAATTTTAAATATAGTTAGAATATCAAATAGGGATTCTACCAAGAATTTCCAACCCTTGTCCTGGATTAATTGATTCTGTGTTTCCTTAAAAAATATATTCATTTGATCCACACTTCAACAGTGAGAAACTCTGCATCCTTATGCTGTGGTGAATGTTGTCCTCAACAGTTTGAAACATAAAATTGTATTGGGTCTGCAAACTTTTCAGGAACAGTTTTTCCTTGCAATTATCTGGGATCTGGGATGATCATCACTATTAGATTAATTCAGCGGTTCTTGGCATTTTCCTTTTCAAATCTTGATCAAAATGTGTAGCATTTTCTGAATCCATGATAGGAATCTATCTTTTTGAATTATGAGTTTTATTTGATGTCAAACAATTTCCTGAGGTAAAATGTGCAAAGTTTAACAAGTATTCATTCATAAGCAAGATCAAGGCTTGCTACTTTTTTTTTTACTTGAGCAATATTCTAGCTTGTTAGGAATCCAATATTTCAGCCAGCTGTTTATCTGAATCATACTCCTTTTTGAGTGCTTCTATTCATTGAAGAAATAAAACATCACTTGAATATCACTCTTGAGTGCTGGTAAAAAACTTGAAATTGATGAATTAACATAGCAAATGAAACTCATCTTGACTTTGCATTTAAAAAAAATTGAAACCACAGTGATCATACTCTTCAAAATTTTGTGAATTGAATATTAGAACACAGAGTTCATATTTGCCATATGATTTGGTGACAGACTATGTCATGGGTACATTGGATCCCAGACAAATGAATTGAATTGTGCAGCCATCAGAATGCAAGTTTTGAATTAGAACTCAAACTCTTTTCAGAGGAGTTCATTCTCATTGCCCAGATCATCAATTGGCTGTTAATTCAATTGTTTTAATGGCAGAGTTGATGGTTAGCTCAGAATATTTTGTCCAGTAATTTAAATTTAAAAGGCCCTTTAACACTAGGTTCTGACTTATCCTCTCAAAGAGGAATGAAGGTTTTTATACCCAGGTGCTTGGATTGGGTCAGGAAGAAATCAGGTGATTTCTTCCTTGCTCAGGATTGGCCGATTTAGGAAAAATCCAGGAAGTGATGACCACTTCTTGTCCTTGAGTGAGGCTCAGTGAGTCTCGCAAAAACAGGATTTTTGCATAAAAATCCAACACGTTTTTGGGTCCAATTTCAACCAAATGCTGGAGCTGCGTCGCTTCAGGACGTGACAGACTATATATAGGTAGAAAACTTACACATCTCAATGAAATTTTTGACAACTATATTCCAGTGCAAAAAATATTTTACTTAGTACCCGCATTCTTCCCAGGATAAAACACAGTGCTGGACAACACATTTTTCTTCACTGCAAACAACAAATGGGAAATATTTTAATGAATAAAAATTCCAACTTCAAAGTCGGAGAACTTTTGAGGAGATAAACTGAAAATTTCCTTTTAAAGAATGTTCCAGATTGTGTTATTGAAACTTGCTGCTTTCTAACTTGCCAGACACTCAACCTGCCAGAAGCTGTTGAACTTGCCACTGATACAACTTGCTTAAGTTGCTGCTGTGATAAGTCACTGCAGGTGGAAGATGCCAATGTAACAGCTCACTGTTGTAATGGCTTGCTGCTATCACAACTTGCCACATAAATTGCAATGAGTTCACTTGCCATATTTTTCTCAACTCATTTGCATTTTTTTCCTTGGCAAAAGTTGAAAATGTTTCCCCTTAATCAGAAGAAGAATGTATTCCCACATTCTTTCATGTTGTTACTCTGCATAGGGAATAAATGCCATGTATTTTTGCTGTTCAGAAAGGTTTTCAACAAATTTGAAATATTTAGTATAAAATTATTGCAATGCATGAAGAAGAGCAGTTCATTTTGTGAGCTTGCTGTGGAACATGCAATTTATAAATTCAAGTGTGCTTGGCTTTTCATTTTCATTTTATATATGCCACATTGGCTTTCCTCACAATCTGTTATTTGACTCACTCTTTAACATTAAGCATGGATCTTCTTGATTGCCAACAGGGGCATGATATGGTTACCTAAGATAGCTATATTTATGTAATTAAAAACCTTTTGGAATTAATAAGTTCAGCAATTTTCAACGGTGGCAACTTGTTACTGCTGCAAGTGGTGACTGTGGTGAAAAATGATTGCAAAAACTTGTTGCAATGCAAAATGTTCATGCAGTCACTTCAGGCTGCGGTCACTTGCAGTAATGGCAAGTTAGGATGCAGCAAGTTGAGATGTGGCAAGTTTAATTGTGGCAAATTTCACCTGCATCATTTGAGATGATTGCTAAAATTCTGGACATATCTTTCAAATGCATAGATGAAACATCTAAGGCAGTCCACACATGAATCCAAACTGATTTTGGGTTACATCATCCCAAGCATATGTGCCCAAAGTGGCAGAATATCTGATGGCCAAATAGTTACTTCCTGCATCTCCATTGGGTTCTCCTGGGTACCAGAATTGTTGACCAGGTTGGGTATCCTTCAGACTGGGTTGTACTGTCCCTGGAACCAGAAATGCATTTTATCACGTCATATTCAGGGGCGATTCATGAACTCCTTCAGGAATTCTGAAACTTCTAAAAATACCAAGCCACTTTTTAGAATCACAATTTGATGCAACCTAATTTCATTTCGGTTTGTTTTGATTGTTCCAGCGTCATGATAAAACGAAGAGCATGTAAATGGCCCTAGATTTAATAAGAAATTCGGTGGGACTGAACTGCTATAAGTTGTTGTCTAACTGAGCACCACCACAACTGTGTTTCAGGATCTCATCAGGGATGTCCTAATGTACAAATGAATGCAGCCAACCTAGTTTAAAAATGCTTTGCTACATAAAAATAGTTTGAGTTTTTTCAAAAAGGTCACTCCAGTTAGGCCAATGTTCCCCAACCTTTTCAGGCCCACAGACTGGAAAACTCCCAAAACGTTTTCTGTTGACTAGCAAAGTTTCAAAACATTTTTATAGACCCACAGAAATTTTCTTGAAAGACATTATGGCAGAGTTTTGGCTGTTTTGCAAAAAATCAGTTGAGAAAAGCCGCTATAGCTGAATGTCATCAAAAATGAAAAGGTGAGTTTGAAGAAAGATTTTTCAGAAAGAAAAATTAAAATAATTATTTTCAGCCAATGAAAGTTTGTCTGAGGTATTGTTAGTAGAAGAGCTAATGTTTATTTCCATTAGATAATTTCAACTGCCATTGTCTTTCCAAAACCTTGGATAATGATATCAGTCTTCATCACTACTTCTAATGCATGTATTTAAGCTGACAAAATGTTTGTGCAGACCAGCAAAAACGTCTGTGGACCGTTGCAAGCCCACGGACGAAATGTTGAGGAGCGTTGTGTTATAAGGGACCCTTAGTTATGGAGTAGTCCTTTCCAAAATTTTTGAGCAGAAACATTTTTATAATGGGTTGTTTACAAACCTCCGCACATGGTCCATGAACCATTCTGCAAGTTGGCCCCACAAGCATACAAACGCAGATCAGTCTTCTCGATGACCCACGACAAAGCATTGGTCAATGTAGGCAATCCGGTTGGGCCGTAGGTTGGTGCCAGAGTACCACCGTCGCGTTGACAGAGCCACCCGGCTGACATGTGGCCAACGGGGATCACTTTGGGGTACAAAGAGATACGGAACCAGCGTTTGGTCGACGGGATCTGAAAGTAAGGCGGACTGGCTTCACACACGTAAGAGGTGATCAGAGTGGATGAACAATCCACGGCGTTCCAAAACGGGTCTCCATTGGCAGTGTCTTTGTTGAGTGTGATGCAGTGCGAGGCAGTGACTGGGCTTGGGATTGCTGATGAGGTGGACCAGACCTGTTCGGGGTCACTGGCATTTGGCACCAGCTTCAACTCTCCAGAGTCTGTTGATACCAGGATAAAGAATAAAAAATAAAGTTGTATACTTGTTTACCCTTGGGTGGCACTATCAGGATTTATTTGCACAATGTTTTGACGCAGGTAAAGGAAAAAATATATAGAATTCCTTGCATGATCAGGAGCCAAAGTCCTAAAAATTCCTAAATTTTTTCTTTTATGCAGAACAATTTTCCACAAAAATGTTCCAGAATCCAGGCATAGATTCAGTATTAAGAGAATTTTGAAGAAAAAAAATGTTGACGCTTTCCCAAATTTTTGGGGACTTCAGTTACTCAGCCAAAGCTGTTTGTGTTGGAATAATTAGACAACGTACCGTACACCACCATGCATGTCAAATCATCCAGAACAATCTAGAATATGCATATTGGTCTGCCATTAGATGGCAGCCATGCTAATTGCATTCTTGAGATTTTAGTCTGTGCATTTCAAGAGTTTCCACCAATCAGGTGCACTGGCATGGATTCTCAGGGAGAAGAATCCCCAGACTGTCTGTCTCCAACTTTTAAGCCATTAACATCAATCTATGATTCTTTGATAAATTACCTGGGTTTTGTGAAACCTGAGATATCTTTTGGGGAAAAATGAAATACATTTATCTTATTGGGATTCTCTAATGAAATCTCCTGCTGCTCCCCACATCTGAATTATGTGTTTCATTTTCAGAATCAATCCTTATCTTGACTCTTTTTGTAATCTTACATTACACTGTGTATTTAGGCGACCTTCAGTCTAACCAAATGCACAAACATGCACAAATTTTCCAGCACCATTGCACAATGGAATTTGGCCTGCTGCCATTCAAGGGTTAATGGACTGAAGGGAACCTTTTTTACAGGACAGACCTGCACAAAAACAAGAGCAGTTTGTGGGAAACACAAAATATTGGTGCACTCTGTTGTTACTGCTTCACCTTAACTATTGTAAAATATGGATCCCTGCAAAACCAAATTGGTCTGTTTTCGGGTTCGTTTTTGTAAATCAAATTCTTGAGGAAGCACCAGAGATTAAAAATAATTCTTGGAGCCCAAGTGTAAAATTGGAGTAATTTTGAGAATACAAATTATGCCTTTATAGCTCATTACCTAATAAACAGCAGTTACTTGGTTATTAGGTAAAATATAGTTAGTATACTATCTATAGTGAGGAGACAGCAGAGCAAATTCTGAACTCTATTGCATTGAAGATTTTTCTACACAAAAGACATGTTATATTAATCTTGAAAATTAAAAAGCAAACAAAATTAGCCCTCACATTCAACCAGAAAGGTTCCATCTGCAGTTCCTTTCCCAATGGTCCAGGCACTTCGAATCCCTGCTGCATACATCAACTTGGAAATTTTGTCTGCTCGTTTTCTGGGATAAGGTAGTGCAAGTGAGGTGCCTCCTAATGATTGACATTCGAGTAATGAGTTACGTTGACTCATTCCAGAAGCACTGGTCACTATTTTGTAGTACCTTCCATCTTCAGCCTGAGTGAATCCGGGTGGGATTTCTGCAGCTGCGGGTTGGTCTGCATCCAGCAAAGAGATGATTGAAAAATGTTTCTTTAAATCAGTGCATGTTTAATGAAATTATGAGATGCTGTACCCATAATATTTGCATTTTGCATATATAAGCAACAAGAAAAACCCTCATCTTGCATTTATATTCTTATGACATTTAAATTGTTTTATCATGAAACCTCAAGGGTTTTTAATAGAATTCATTACAAGCCTAAATTTATTATAGCAAGACACAGTATACGCAGGTAGCTCCTCAAAGTTTAATTTCAAGGGACTGAAAAAAATTCTGACAAATTGTCTTTTCTGCAGGAAGCATGAAAGAAAGAATTGCAGAAAAATGTGATTGGTGATTTTCTGGGCTTTAAAAATCACTTTTTAAATTATTTAACAACATGCTGTACTTGAAGGCAGGGATGCAGGGATTCATTTGCCCAATTAGTCTTGTGACTTCCTTTCAAAACAGATGAAGTTGGTTGCTGTTCTATTGCTTTTCTCTTTCATGCATCAAGAAAATAATAGCCAAAAGGCTGCAGAAAATTCAACTTGAGGAGGTTCAAGAGAAAAAATAATTGAGTTAGGGAGGTTTCTAATACATTGTTTTTAAGGGCATTCACATGGGGAGATAAAAAAATTGACTTAGGGAGGCATTCAATTTAGGGAGGTTGGACTTATGAAGATTCAACTGCATAAGATATATAACAGTACATGGATTAACAAACTGCAATTTATCTTCTGCTAAAAAAACCAGATTGCCTTCAAGCTTGGAATTTCCCATTGCAGGGATCTTGTTATAATCATCCTCATCATGAAAAACTCTCTCACAGTGAGAAAATTCTGATGAAGAAAAAATACTCACCAGGTTGCATTTCTCTGCATTCCTATCCTTTAGGCATAATTGAAGGTTCATAAGCAAATGACTTCGATAATAAAAAGCTTTAGTTATCATGGATGTTCCCCACCTTGAGCTATTCAGCCCTGGATTTTTCAGTCACTTTCAGTCAAACAAAATTTCAACCGTGTGCAAAATTATCCTGGCTTTGCTGGTGCAGTCCAAAAATCAAGTGAAGGAAGGTCTATAAAGAATCAACACATCTACTTAGCTATTATGCGGTGATGTCTAAATCCTTTCAGTTCCCCCTTTTTTTTTATTAATACTTTCCCAACCTTGATATGTTTTTATATTAAAAATGTTGTAAGTTTTGAAGACTATGCCATAACTTAAATGCAGTTGATGAGAATGAAAATGTACTCACAATAGTAAAGATTTGCAGATGGTTTCAAAGTCCAATATAAGTCTCCGTGTGCAGGCAATTGGCACAAAACCCGACCATCTGGCATTTTTTCAGTGCTGTAGCCTCGACATCGTCCAATACTTTGCTGCTTACACATCCTGGCACATTCTGAATTTGTTGGCAATATTATGCTCAACCCTGGATTTTTCAGTTGTGCATTGCGTAAGAACTTGTAAGGGCTTGTGTGTAATAAGCAAGTTCCATATAAAGCATCTGCACATGTGCTTTGCGCATACCAAGCATAAATTCCAGCAGCAGTCATTATGGATGCATAGCAGCGATTGTTCTCAATGGTGGGGAGCTGGTTAGCATACCATATCTGTTCTGGATCTGTCAGTGATGGTGTTATGTTTAATCCCACTGTCATGAAAAAATAAAGCATGGATAGTTTTTTTATTTTCAGTATGCACTTTGCAAAGTTTTTAAAAACTAAAAATGCATCTAAAAATATTCAGCTAGGAATAAATTTGTGGTTTCAGATTTGAGTTGTTGGGTGAAGGTTTTTAAATGAATACAAAATGTAGTTGTACATGTGGCTCTGTATATAGTGTATACTATGATGTCGTTTTTGAAAAGTTTTCTCTATAAAATTAAATTTTTCTGTTCCATATAGCTTCTCTCACCATGTTATATTCTCATTGATGAACTTATCCCTGAAATGTAATCCGGTACCTTGAATTTCAATAAACAGAGAGTCCTTTTGCATACAAAGTACTGTACAGCAAATTCAGATCCATACATCATGAATACTGTATTTACTTGAGTACCATGCCCACCTTTTTTTCCCTGATTTCAGAAGAAAAAAAGGGTGCGCATCATAAGGGGGTACACAATTTTCAAGAAGTTTTAGGAAGTTATGTGAGCATTATACTTGATTATAATGGAGATATTTTGAGCAAATGTTAGAAGAAAATAATTTCTTACTGAAAAAGTTGAAAATTGATGAGATTTTTGTTCAATTCATGCCTGAAGTCAAGTTTTTTGGTTTTTATTTGCAAACTTTTGTGGTTTCAGATTCACTAAAAATTGGGGTGCGCGTCTTACTTAGGATAAGATTTTAGCGCAATTTCCAACTCAAAAAACCCCTCTGTGCGCCTTACTGAAGGGTGCATGGTACATGAGTAAATACAGTAGTTCTGTCAATCAAAGTGAACAATCAAGCATTCAATTTTCTGACTTTGACTTGGAGAGGTTGCAAAATTGTACCCTCCTCATTCTGAGGGTTAATAGAAAACTCATATCAAATCAATGTTGACAATAAAATAGTTGAAGTTTTTGAGCAGGTTTGTTTTCATGGCAAGATTTACATTTAGTGAAAATTCCCTCAAATCCACAAGGAAATCCTGTGGTAGCAAGTTTGACCTCAAGTTCACGTAAGTTCTGCTCATATATGAAAATATCATCCCACATCAAGGCCAGATTCCTGAAACCTGTCAAACTCTGCAAGGACACTGCAGTATTTTCCATTTTAATTGGGAATCTTTCTTGATCAGCTCTGACCACTCAATGTCATCATTATGTTGCTTGCAGTCCCATCAAACAGGCATCAGGAGTGTCTTGATACCTTTTTCTCGTGTCCACATATCTGAACCATTTCACTTGGGGGTTGTTTCACAAAGCAAAATATACAAGCTTCAAAGTGTTCAAACTATGCCCCAGCAGTATAAAGTTTTTCATAAAAAGTGGCCAACAGACCTCCCATGTAAGGGATTTTTGCCTAAAAGACCAGATCTGCATGGAGTTTTTCCTCCTGCTCAACAGACAAATTCAGCCAAACAGACTTCTTTAGGTTTAAAATTAGTGTTGACCGTTGAAATGTTTAATTTTTTATATAATGAGTTCATCTTAAGAAATGTTGGTCTAACAGACTTTTCTGTTACACAAATTAAGTCCATTAAAAAGGGGTTGACTGTACTGGAAAAGTAAAGCTTCAATCTCTTTTGAAGCTGTTGTGCTCTAAATTTATACATTTCTCACATCTGAAACATTTGGACAACACAATAATTTGTTCCTTACACTTTTCATGCAAAATTGATGCATACATAAAAAAAAGGCTGCTCAATGAACTGAAGTTCTCACACGCAGGTATTGATAGCTTTCCATCTGCAGTTCCAATGCCAGCAATTGCTGTCCACCAACCCGCCATTGAAGCAGGATACGCCTTTACAGTCATAGCCTCTATTGCTGCTGCCCTCTTGCGGGGATACATTGGAGCCAGGACTCCAGCGAAAAACTCGCATTTCTTCATGTGGTCAGAAGTAGTTATAAGCTCATCAGGGGCAAACGTGACCAGGTATAAATTCCCGTCTGTTGCCAAGTTAACACCACGCATGCGAGTCAAAACAGGCTCTGAAAAAGTAAAAATGAATTGTGAGGGCCACAGGAACTGTTTGAATTGCAAAAGGTTTTTAAAATGTTCTCATATGTATATTAAATTCATGTATATCAAAATATTTTGTGTCTCAGATTTCACAAAAAAAAGCTATCATCGTATTGATTGAGTGGATTTTTTGTATGTACTTCTTTTATCCATCTTGACTAATGCATACACCAGAAATTTTTTTTCTGGATTACAGATATATCATTCAAAGTTTCTGTTACTTGAAAAATATGTTTGATGCACATGCTAAAAAGGGCTTTGCTTCGTGTTTGAAAATTTAACTGAGAATATTAATGCCTACCTATATATATATTCAAGAGAATCATTCGATGCGACGATATTATTTACTGTATAGACATGCGTTTTTTCGAAGTTGACTCAAAATTTCAGTCACGAAAGCATCAATTTTCTGCACAATACTTTATGCAAGTATACTGAGTTTGAAAAGAAAGGTACATTTTCTGTTCAATATCTTGAAGGCAGAAGTTATCAAGTCAAACAATTTACGATATGTATTGAAGAGAATCACTGAGTGGACCTCTGTGATTTCTTCCCATGCTAATTTTCTCAGAAAATTTAGCTATTTTGTGCATCTAAAGTTTAAATATTTACCCAAAAATATGTCAAGGCTAATTGTCAGCATTGATGTACGTTTTCAATTATACAATGACCCTTTCTTTAAAAAAAACTTGTGTCCAAGAAGGAAATTTAAAGCTATTCCCAAATATGCCCCAAAGTATCACAATTATCATGCAGAAAAATGGAATCGTGAAGGCAAAAAGGCCTATATACTCACCGAAGTACAAAGTTGTTGCATTGTTCTCTTTCCAGTAGGTATCTTTTGGATCCGGGATTCTGCACAAGATGCTCTTTTTCTGCGAGGATTCAGTGATGGGTGTCACACTGAATGATGTGCAAAATTCTGTTCGCCCGCATTCCAGAGCACAGTCTTCAGCTGAATCAACAATTACGTCTTTGGCGGAGTTGATGAATTGTCCCAATGGGGTTTGCTGCTTGAATGCGCTCAGGCGATCTGGTGATTGGGGCTCAAAATCTTAATTTCAAAATGGCATTGATCATATATTCAGTAAATTTAAAATAAACGAATAAAGGCATCAATGAATTCACTCAACTATACAGTTTACACTAATTAATAATCAAGTACATTTCACTTTTGTGACAAGTTACAGTCAACGCCCACATAACAGACTTAACCCTTGGGTGGCTAAGGCAGACATTTTTTTTGCAAAATTGTTTGGCAGTTCATGCAGAGAGACAAGAAAAATAATTATAGTAGATTAAAAAATTAATTTTTATTCTTTTTAAAAAATATTCTTATAATTATTCTTTTCACAAAAGATTGCATTGTCATCAGTTTCTAAGCTACCCTGAAAGTTTCAGCTTGCTAGCTAGTCAGGAAGTGAGCAAAATTTGAGTTGCAAAATTTGATCCAGACAAACAAACTGACAAGAAAGCAAGTTAATAAAAACGTGTTAAAAAGACAGTGGGTGGATGGCGAAATTGGGAAGAATCTCCGTTTTTTTCTCTGGGCACAGAAAAAATATTGCTCAAAATTTGGAAAAGTTTTCTCAAAGTGTTTTTTTTTCAAATTCCCCTGTTGTTGTGCTTCTCAGACGTAAGAAGTCTCTCCAAAAACATTCACATGAGGTTAAATGAAGCTTGAAGGCCAATTCATGGGTGGCATAAGCTGATTTTTGTGGGTGTTTGGTTGTCAACTCATTCATGACCTTCTTAAAAATTTTCCCCTTCTCTGTAAAAAAATTCCTGTTTTCATTGATCAAAAGATCCACTGCTTCTTCAGAACTTGGAAACAAGAAATCAGAGAGAGTATATCGTAGAACCTTGAGATAAACTCAGAAAAGGCTTAGGAAGCATGGGAAAAATTAGCTCTTGGAAATTAGCTCAGAACGTGAAGCAAATTAGTGATTTTTTTTTCGCACAGTTTCTTACCAGAAGATTTTATAAACTAATCCCACAATATTCAAAATCAGCCAAAAGTAACAAACATCCTGAAGCTTTGATCTCAGGATGCATTAGCAGAAATTGTAGTTTTTCCTACAATTAGACAAAATCTGCCAAACTGACTTCTTTTGAATTAAAACTTGTGTTGAAAATGGATATTTCTAATTTTTAATATACAGTGATTGAATTTGTGTGAAGGACTTTTTGTGTTAAGCCCATCACAAATTCAGTTCATTAGACAGGTGTAGTTCAGAAAGGTGAAAGTTGAAAAAGTCAAACTTTGGACTTTCACAACTGCCTTTCCCCAAAAAATTTCCAACTCTGCCTTGCCCAAACTGGCAGAATTTTTTGACCTCAAGAAATCATAAAATGTGGGAGAATGCAAAAAATATCAACTCATGGGGCACTGGAAAGGAACCCTTTGCCATCCAAGGGTTAATATGTACAACAGATTAGTCTCTTATGTAAAAAATATGTTATGACAATTCTTTCGGGAAGCAAGGGGGGGAAATAAGGGACTCATGTTTATTGGTGGCATGCACTTCTACATACTGAAGTCTGTTACATGTATTTTTTCTGCTATGCAAGAGGGAACACCCTCTCCAAAGGTACTCTGTTCTGCAGAAATTCTGTTGTGCAGGGGTTGAATGTATTCCTCTTACATTTTGATGACATAAGCAATGTTCCAGTCATGGTGTCCGAATACTTCTTGACATAGGATGAAGAAGATGGTACGTAGTCAAGAAGGAAACATTCCGAGGAGTTCCCTGCAAAAAAGGAAATATGATTGTTCTTTGAATCATTATTTGGAAAAAGGCTGTTGAGAACTTGCATGATTTATGCTTTTCACATTGTTACATTGCCTTATGCTGCAATTGTTATTACTGATATTTTGATTTTCTTATCAGGGAAGAGGGAAGAAAGTGAATGTATTTACATCAGTTGTGCAATTGTACATTTTGAGATGTATTTATATCCAAACACACCATATTTCTCTGTTCTCCATTCTGATGTGATGGAATGTGTTTTTGATGAATTTGGGTGGGGAGGGGAGGGCGTTTTGATGTAAGAACATTGCTTGAACCTTGTGCATTCTGGAAAGCAGAAAATAAAGCTGGCTGTTCAATTCAAAAACATTATGGTCCAGAAATTTATTTTCCTTGATCAACCTATAAAAAAACCTTGCCATTTTCCTTAATTTAAAAACTAACCCAGCAAATGCTTCTAAAAATATTTTGGAATTTATCTTATAGATATAATGGTTTGACAAAATGCCTCACAAAATTGTAAGTTAATTTTTCTCAATTTTTTCCCTGAATTCTAAAGATTGTGATTAACAAAATTTGGGTAATACTTTGAATTGATGAATTACTTTCGAACGCGCCAATTGCAAAAAATAGTCTCAATTGAGGACGTTTGTGAGGGAAATGAAATTTTACATTACTGAAGATACTGTATATGTACAGTAATATAATTGATTTACTTGAACAAATCTTGCCACTTTCCGTAATTTGAAAAAGTTTCCCGCGTCGAATGTTTATAACAATATCTTTGAAATATAATTTGAGAGTTTCAAATTCAATTTTTCAATATGGCTCTCAAAATTTTAAGCTTTTGCATGATGTCAATCCTTTTTGCTGTTTTAAAAATATCGATTGATATTTTTGTAGATATGAGGAATTCATTTTGAACGTGTCAATGAATTGCATCACCTGAAATAAAAATTGCTCTGCAATCATTTTTCTGTAGACATTCTGCAGCACATTCAAGACGGTTTCCAACAGATGAAACAGCAGATTTTGAGTCTATGATTGTAGACGTATCTCCAACACCGGCAAAAATGTCGCAGAATGTCGATTCGGCAAAGAAAAGAAAAAATAAAAGCGATATCTCCATTGGATGGCCACGAATTTCCTGCGAAAAAAAATGAGAAAGTTGATGTTCATTGACACTTTCGAGATATTGCGCGAGTTCCGAATTTGAGTAAAATAAATCCAGGAAAAACAAAACCGAGGAAATATAACGACGAAAATGTGAAAATGTGAACTATTCTTGCTGAAGATTGATATAATGTTCTTTTGAAGTAGCGCTTCAATTTTTACCCACGTGGAAATTGCTTTATAACATAATCAAAAGCACTTTTCTTGGATACTTCACTTGATCTGTTCCACCTTGAATAAAAATAATAAGTCCCGTTTCTCCATCGACAAATTTTTTATGGAGTACGAAATGAAATGCCTTTTCGTTCTACCTTATTTTCTTATTTTAATGCGCAATTAAAAAGCCTGCATTTCCTTTTATTACATTCGGAAAAAAATCGAAAAATTTCTTGCAGAGCTTTCGTCTGCATTTGCAATAAATATTCGTTTCATTTTTCAGAAAATGCATGTAGAAAAAATGGAATTGAAAAATAGTGCAGAAGATATTTGTTGCGATTTCGCTTAAGAAATGCTTAACTCGCTCAATTTTTCCACACAGCAAGGCTGTGTCTGCAAATTGAGTTCTTCGTGCACCATTTTTTTTCTCGTTTGCCCAATGGTTATTATGACTGGGGGAAAAATTGTGACAGACAAGCATGCTCAGGAGCTTAGCACCTCTATGAATTGTTTATATCTAAGGTTTGCAGTGTATAAGAGCCTAGAAGGTCTTTTCGTGCTTTTCGTCCCCACTTTTTTTTTTCTAAAGATAGCATCACTTTCTAGTGCGACTCGATGCAATTTATTATACTGTACCTTGAAACATGGACAACGCGGTTATGTACATAATTACATGATTTAATATTTCGAGCTAAATTTCCTTGGCAAATGAAAAAAAAACTCGGTCTGCTATTTTTGCCTGATCCTGACAGTATAATAATTTCAGTCGCGTTATAAACTGAACAATGGAAAAGGGATTCGAATTCTTGGTGAAATCTGTCAATGGTAAATTAGCATCTGTGACCACAATTATGGACCAATTCCTTGAGGCTACTATTTCGGGAAGCAAAAATTTATAATATAATCTTGGGTCATTAGCTAAAATAATTCCTGTGATCTATGTCGCGGGTCGACTAGATGTCGCCCGCAGCGCAGGAACAGGAAAGGCGCAGTAAGTGCGACGCAGCGTAGGAAACGCTACGTCGTACATAAAAACAAACATCTCGAAAATTCCAAACAATTCAAGATAATAATAGAAATATCTTTTATTAAAACATTATGAAACCTGAAGATATTGATCTTCAGGAAAAACATTCCACCAAGTGAATCATCACTTGATGAAAGGAA